TCCAAATTTCTCTGGTTCGATTGACATAGAAATCAAATTATATCTTTGGTTAATTCGATGTAACGATATTGTCGAAAGTAAATTGCACCAAATCATAACGAGCTGTTCAAATCAATAAAACGATCGCTCAAAGTCCGCAAAACAATCCGTACCACAACAAACTATTTAAAAAATGGTGGCTAATTAAATTTATTCACTTACCAGTTAGCCAGTTTTATCCATTCCATTCCATGACATCTGCATTTAAAACAAAATGAAGTCCCCAATAGATTTTACAAGCTAAAAGTCTTTTATCACAGCGTTTCGGTAAGAATATCCAAGAACCAGACGTGTTTCTTTTCCCCTAAGCCAACACCCTAATTCCGTCGAACGTCGATTTCAGAACCGCTTACATCAAGCAACCAACTCGTTTAGCTCTCTGAAAGGGTTCAAGGCAATATTTTTGTAAGGAAATTCTCACCTGCTGCTGTAATAACAAAGACTGAATTTTCTTTGCTTGTCTTTACATGCCACTTGCCTCCTTCCATCGATATTGCTCCTTAATCTTCAGCACTTCGGAAGCACGTCTTCGGAAGCACGTCTTCGTCCTTCGACAGGCAGCATGGTTTGCTGAAAATTCTACAACTGCTGATGAATATGGATTAGCAGCTGCAGCCAATTATCAGCTCCTACGTCACAGATTTTTCGCGGAGTTTTGTTTGCACGCTAATTCAGCTATTTAAGAATTAACAGTGAATGAAAGGCATTCTGACTGGCGAATTTGCATGCCGGATGGGGAAAAAATGACCTTAATTTCATTTTAGATGGTATTATGTGAGAACTGTGTGATCAATCAGACGAAACTGATTTAAACTATTCGTGAATTTGTAATTGTGTGAATGTATAAAGAATTATTCGTAATTCTCTTCTGATGGAGGTGAACTTAAAGGAATTGCTTAGGTTTTTACGAAAGATCTATTCTCTCAGGGTCCTTGTCCAAGACTAATTAGGAGAAAATTCTATTCATTGTAGCACTTAAGCTCGTGGAAAGGGTTTCATTTTTTGCGCGATAAGACGAAAGTGCGAATCAAGTGCGAAAAAAATGCGAGGGATGATACACGATCAAAGGGAGGCGCGCGAATAAAGACATCCACTTGTGTGTGTCTTGCCCCTCGCGCCTTTCTCGCACTCGCCTCGTGCTTCCCTCCACTCGCCTCGCGCCTTTCTCGCACTCGCCTCGTGCTTCCCTCCACTCGCCTCCCGCCTTTCTCGTACTCGCCTCGTGCTTCCCTCCACTCGCCTGAAGAGCGCAAAAAAAGGGAAATAAAAGGAAATAAAAGGAACTGAGGCACATCGACCTCAGGGAGCCACGCCCAGCATAGTACGCCTTTATTCACATTTAGATTTTGAAAACAATGTTGATAACCACACGTGCTTCCGGTCCAGTAACTCAGCCTACACGAGATACTTAATATCAAAATCGCAGGACCCCGAATATCAAACCATGTTAAGTTGTACTTAATCTTTAGGAGCAAATAAAAATGTGCCTTCTGAGGGAAGGGGGAGGCCTTTCCAGAGTTCACGTTATAGAAGTGTTCCCTTAATGACAGTCAGGCAAGAAAAAGTGAAGCAAAAGGAATGAGGACACAAAGAAATGAAGACAGAATAATGGAGAACCTTTATTCGAACTGTAGTCTCATGTAAAAATAGTTGTACGAGAAAATTTCTAGAAATTAGGCGGTTTATTTAAGACTGCCTCATTAGTAAATCATTTACTGTTTTGAAATAGATCCTTTCATTCACTGTCATCAAACAAGGCCAAGGTTTCTTGGAAAATGAAATTGAAGTTATCTAATAAAAAATATTACATTCTTGGTTTGATTAATAACTTTTAAATGATAATCTTATTAAAGTTTGATTTTGACAAACTTTTAATGTTTCAACCAATCAGTTGAATGACCAGTATTTAAAATTAAAGGGCACTGTCAAAATTTCACTCTTTTTCTGTTTCTGTCCATAGTTAGGAGGCTTGTGCAATTTTACTAACCTAAAAAACTTACTCATTTTAACTTATACCAAATTGCACTAGTATTTGTGTGATTACTAACCCAAACATGTATCTAGAAATGAGTTTGGTAAACGTGAGAGGCAATGTCACCACTTAACATTTTCCTGTGCAGATTATAGATAAGTGAACATCACTCAAGCTTTTTTTAAAAATAAGAATCAAGATTTTTGTAGTGTAGCTGATGCAGCATAAGCTTAAGTTGGGGCTCTTGGATCCCACAGAAATGTGTTCCACAATCAAAATGATTGGAATTGATCCCCTATCTCATACCATGTTGCACTTATTTTTATCTGTTAACAATCAACAGACTTTACCAGTCCCCTCTGGTTTTTTACACAAACCCTTTATGCCCTATAAACAGTGAGCTTATTCTTTTTAATGTTCTCAGTAGTGAAAATGAAGAGCATCTTAAGTAAGTGACCATTTCCTTCATTCTCATTACCTGTCCACAGGGCAGCATCTATATAATGTGAGGTTAGAACAATTTCATTTACAATTTGATTTACAGAACACTCTTCTATGTACCATGTTAGTGGATTTCCCCCTCAGGAATTCAAACTTTTTATTATCAGAAAATAAATTAAACAAAATTGAAATTAGATTAATATTATTTCCAATTTGTAAATCTGAAATTTCAGGTATTAGGAGAGTTTAGTTGTTGAATTATGCTGAGATATTTTCTTGTAAACAAAGAAAATTTTCTCTGCTTTGCATCTAGTTCAACTAAAAAAAAAACCATATTAGTTCTTCTATACAACCATTCCAATAAGTCAAGCAATCTGGTGATAAACAGTTGCTGTAGTTATTGTACCACCAAACATATCATCTTTGATAGGTTTTTAATTCCCATCTACAGATCCATTTACAGCAGTGGAATGTAAAGCAGAATTGAAGTAAAAACTGAGTTGTTCAAGAAATCCATAATTTCAGCTTTTCTGATCACTGGAGTACAATAATGATGGAAGGCAGCATTAACTGTGAGGATAAGGTGGGCAGAGTTTGAATTTCAAAGGTTTTGAAAAAAATACTCGTCAAACTTTGTGGGGTAAAACTTGAATGCACTTTTTTTCATGAAAAGTTGCCACCAAACTGTCAAATCCTTTGGACATTGCAATAGAATTGAGACTACCACCTATAGGAGTCTTGGACACAATACTGCCATCAGTTTTCACAGCAAGGATTGTGTTCTGGTTGTTCTGCTTAGAAACACAGACAAGGCAGTCATGTGCATCATCCACAGCCACTAAGTAGAGCTTAGAGGGACTTTTGGAACTATCACCGAGATTCTTTGTTTCTTGAAGAAATTTACCTTTCTTGTCAAAGATCTTGATTGTGCTGCTGCAGTCAGTGACATAATACTTATCTTTGTGATGCACTGCAGCCAATGTGTTGCCTTGAAAGTGACTTGATGTGAATGCTAACTTGTGGCATCTTTCGGAATCATACACAACAACACCAGGTCCATCATCAGTCAGGGTTGTAAGCACATAACACCCATCCCCACCTGTTGTTACTTTCTGAAACCTCACTGATCTATTGGGAGACTGGACAAACTTGTGTATGAAAGCACCATCCTTGTCAAAGTGTAAAAGGCGATTCTTCTCTTGGTTCAGAACCACAATGTCATCATTCTTGGAATACGTAATTTCCTTAAGATCACCATACTTGATCTCAAATTGTTTTTGGTGATCTCCAGTGGCAGTGAAAATATGAACACAGTTGTTTTCTGCATCAAGAACGGCAATCTCACCTGTATGTGGAGAAACAGATAATGCTGTTGGAACAAAGTCTGTGTCAATAACACGAATGACTTCATCATCACCCAATGCAATTGCTGGTCCAGAAGCAGCTTTTTTACATGGATCACAAGAAATTAACCCCAGGATTTTGCTAGATTTGTCCAAGTTTCCTGCATTAAATTTGGCAGTAGCTGTCCACTGCATACTGCTCAAGTTTTCAATTGAGGCCTCCAAAGTCTTAAGACTATCTTGAAACTGTTTTTCAAAGATCTCTCTTGATTTCTGAAATTTCTTCCAGTCGCGTTCCTCTTTAACTTTGTCAGCACCTTCCAGGGAGGTTAAAACTTTACCATTGAGCTGTCTGACCTCTTCTAGTTTCTTTCCAAACTGACTTTGGTCAGACTTTTCATTGTAGATCTCGTCTGCTTGAGACAATAGCTTTCTCTCTTCTTTGTCAATTAGTTTCCTTACACGTTTAGCTTCCAATTTTATTTGATCTTTCATTTCCTTCTTGCTCTCTTCAAAAAGAATCCTTCGAAAGGTTGTGAGAGTTTGGAACTCTTCCTTAATCTTTTCCCTTTGTTCTCTGTAACATTCAAGAGCTTTGTCAAATGCACGCCTTCCCCTATGTTCAGGGGAGTTCTCTACGAGCCGTTTTAGCAAGTGGTTTGTGGGAAAACCGGTAACTCCAGACAATGGAACCGTCGACTTGGTGCGACATTCAGGACACTCCACCGTACTCTTCTTGCGGGTTCGTCTGGCTAAGTTTCCGAGGCATGTAACGCAGACATTGTGCGCACAGTTGGGAAGGCACTTGGGATCGTCAAATACTTCCAAACAAACAGGGCAATGAATTTCAGTACCGACAAAATCAGCCAAATGGTCTGAAACTCCGGAAGTGGTTCCCTCCTTAGCCTTCGCCATCTTGCATTTAGCTTCTCTGCAAAGAATCGTGGGACAGTTTTCTGAGCTTCCTCGTTCCCAGGGTTTTGCGGTTTCGGTAGATAGCAGCGACAGGATACCGAGAAACCCCTAAAGGCGAGGTTATTGCTTCCGCCGATCAATAATAATTATTGACTGAAAGTACACGCTACTTAACATAGCTCCTCACGTAGCAATTTTGGAATTAGATACATTTCCCTGCAGAGTATCATCTTTGAGAGATTACACACAGGCAAGTACCAATTTTTGAAAGAGTAGATTTTAATGTAGACCCTTAACATAACTTCAATCCAAGAACTATGTACAAAATACTAACGAAAATAGTCCCTCATACTGTAACATGATGTCATAGTTAGAATAATACAAAGATGTAACAAAGCGATGTTCTCCTGGTAATAAATACTACATTTTCTTTTCTTTTCGACTCACGGACATTTCTTTTGAAGGATACCTCATCCAAGACCGAATACAAAAACTGAATTTTCAAAAGTTTTTTAATTGATCATGTCTTAGAAAAAACAGATCGATTAGAAAGGTGGACTGAATATTCCTGAGTTTCTTTTCCTAGTAAAGCGTGAAACCTCTTTCTAATGCAGAGTGCGTTGCCAAGATAAAGAAGGTAAAAGGCTTTGCATGAGATTGTATCACCACTTTCACCCTTAGCGACGTTGAGGGTTCAATTAAATGCTACCACTGCGTCGTTCCATTGCTAATGAACATTTAATAACCGCTTACTACTGATGGTCCTCGCGGGACATTGCGATATTTATCCTCCACCCATCCCCCCCATAATACATGAAGAAAACTGTTCTAAGTGATCATTTCATACGAAATGTTTACTATTTCTTCTTTGCTCTCCCGTCCGACAGGTCAGGTAAGGATGTTGGCTTAGCTAAGTAGCTCTGCCCGTTTTGCAGCTGATCCAAAGAAACTGCCGAACGTAAATGAGCTGGAACGATGGGAACATCCGCCAGATTATCAACTGAGGCTGAGAGTAATGACGAGGAAGACTTGATTGCAGTCTTTGATTCCGAGGATCCACTAAGGGCACCGGATTCTAGTAAATGAAAAAAAAAAAAACCGAGGAGGAAAAGTTAAACCAACAATTTATTTCTCTTAGGAACAGCTATTTTTTATTCGGCCGTCTCAACAAAACACATGGTATCGTAGCGAAATTAAAGTCGAAGGTTCTAAATAGAAAAAAAATGTTCAGACTAGCTGGGTTTACCTTGGGCAACGTATTTCTCTAATTGCGCCGTGTAATATCCATTGTGATCCAGCCGGGCGATGATATTCAGCATTTGATGTTCACAGTCTGTTGTAGAGTAATGGCTAAGCTTCTCCAACAAGTCCATCAAATGACGAGAAAAATTATTGTCGAAGTTCTGAATGGTGCGTTCAAAATCCTCGCCACTGATCATTTGGTCAACATGATCAAACACAACCTACGTGGAACAAGAACCAACAATTGTCCGTGATGAAGTACAATGTGGGGTGGGGAGGGGAAGGGGACTAGCAAACGCTCGAAGAAAACTATCCAGCCCAATGAATTCGATTGATTTTGTCAGTCTATTTTAAGAAAAGACTTCACTCCTGAGGGCGACGAGATTGAAAGGTTCGGAGAACTTGAAAGTCATAGGTAACACGACCATGTTTCGGCTTTGCTTTCACATTCTTTAATTTGTTTATCTTTGAAATTGTTCGTAAAAAATAACCATTTAGATAACCAGGAAGTCTGGAAGCACAGGGTTTCACCATCTGAGTCGTGTTATTTGATTCTAAAAACGTGCTTGATCCACTGCAAACCCATTAAAAATGACTCCTGTACCTTTGCGGTAGTTTTACGCTTCTCTTGTTCTCCCGGCGGTGGACCTTTCTTACTCATTGGACTCACTCCTGTAGCATCGGTCTCCTGTGATTCCACGCTTGCGCTCTGGGTGAACCGCTTACAATGAAACATATCAGGAATTGTTAATTTGACCCTTTCTAAAGCTTTGGAAGGAATTGCCGGACGTATCTGAATAAAACGTTGCACACTCTACCGAAAAGCCAAACACATAAACCGCCAAAATTTAGAAGAGGGTCGTGTGTGTAGAGAACATATTAATACCTCACCTGCATACAATTCGTGAATGTCACACAAACCAGCATTAACTTGCTAACAACCTGCCACAGAACGATAAAGCTTTGTAAATGTAACCTGTGGGTACACATGCATTCCAAACCTCTTCAGATCATACTGTGAACACTTTCCACGTTACTTATCATATTATATCAGCATTACCAAAACAACTACATGGTTAGCATCGTGCAGTTGAGACTCAGCGAACTTTCAAACTAGTCTAGGCGGGGTTTTTTGAAAGCTACTTCGGATCCCCTCGCAACTATTTCCTCTAAAATCAAACCGTTTGCATGACGTTGCTGCCCTCACCTTCAGCAGCTCTATATTTGTCAGCATACAGTCTTTCAAACAGCGGTCCAAAAAGTCGTTGTGCTTTTCTAGTACACCATCGATATTTGTAACCTGTGTAAACAAAAAGACAACAAACCGTAGTTGACTTCCACTTATGAAAACTCGCTGCATTCTTAGCTAGCCTTATCCCAGTAAGTAAAAAAAAGGAAGGCGAATTCTATTAACATCTTGTACATTTTGCACTTCGATTTCATTTTTGCTGAGTTTGATAACTATTTGGTGATAGGTTCTAGCTAGGCTATCAATATAAAAACTAAACCAATCACGGCATTCCTAGTCTGAGATACTTTGCAATTCCATTTCACAATGAGGACAAATTCAGTCTTCTATAGGCAAATTAGCGAGGCGAATTTTTACGAGGACAGTTCAATTGACTAGACGTCGCTTTAAGAATATCTTTGTAAACAAGGAAAAACCACGTGAAACTCGAGAAGATGGTTTTTTTTATCCACAGCAAGATAGAGAAGAGTTAGAAAAGAAACCCGCTTAAGAATTTTACAGCATTTCACTTGGAGTTCCTATTGATTACGGAAGAATGCGAGTTCACTGGCACTGAAGAGTAGATCGAAATTTACTGTGGCCTAAAAACCGTAAACTTACGGCCTCCCCAAACATAAATAAACTTCTAACCCTTGCTCTTGAGCCAAAGCGTTTTCATGGCTAATAAACTTGTTAATCCATTAGAGAGCGCTCTCCCTGTGTATCATACCGTTTTAAGACTTTTCTCCATAACATGCCAGCTGGGCTCCAGAACCTCAAACATCATATAGTGCTCGTATGTCTGTACAAAGTGCAGCATCCGCTGACGAAGAGCAAACGCAGCTGCATACCTGACGTAACAAAACACTGTTAGCGATGAGTAAGATATTGGCATCAGCGTGATAACCAGATGAGCAAAACGACAACTATTTCCTCATTGTTTTCAAACAGAAGAAGCTGAAGGAATCAAGTGTTCTTTCATTGTAAAAAAAAACTCAAGATATGTTATCCACCCAACGGCGATTGAGAACATGCATCACGTTGCATTAAACATTTGCCTGTAAAGATAGAGTCTAAAAACAAGATAACTGATAGGAAAAACCTACAGAAGCTAATTCCAGTTTCTATGTTTGGGTAACATAAAATACCCACCCTCCCGCCTCCACCCAGCCCTTGCTATTTTTCAGGGTTTCCTAAACAGTTTGCAAGTGCCCATTTATATTCCTTTATTAACACCCGTGGGTGGGGAGTTTGTGTAACAGTAGAGTAGTTCGCCCTATCGGTCTGGCGTTCAGTGCACCAACTATGATGTGAAGCGTACTCCACATTTCAAACATGAAAGAGACCGGACGTTTAGTTAATAAGCGTCATAACTCACCATGGGGAAGAATTCAGAGTAAACTGCTTTGCTCTCTTATTGCTCACCCAAACACTGAAAAATAAGGAATACATCAGTCCGAAATCACACTTTATAAGGGCAATTTTCAGCTGAGTGTTAAAAGTAATCCAGCATTGCTTTGGTTTTGCTTTACATTCTGTGATTGGCCCAGAAAACTTGCGCCATCTTCTCAACCAATCGAAGGAAATTAAAACCAATCGCGACTTGGTCACTCCTGGTTTCTCGCATTTAAGGCAGTCTGCTTGTTCTTACTTTGAGTTCGCTCGGCTTCTTGGTTATATCATCCTTTGATCTGCTTAGCCTTTGGTTTTGCGACACTCGATCGAAATGCACTCTATGCGCGACGGCACGTAATTATTTCCAAAAACGTTATCACTGACGAAACACCCACAAAATTAATACTATAAACAGAAAAATGCTTGTTGCAATTTCGGAAGGAAAAAAATTGCAAAGCAGGTGAAGTGGTTCTTACTTGCATAGCTGTCTTTCAACATGACGGGCATAAAATAAATGTCTAAACAGCATCTGGTATTTCGTGAGAGCCTTCATAACAAATAAACAAACAAACAAAAAAATAAAATGAAATAATTGATCAGTGAGCAAAAACGACTTAAAACAAGGAGCTTTTATTGGAAAACAGTGCATTAGCAATGTTTGAATATGTGACTTATTGGTTTCTCCAGAGAGAGGAGGTGAAGTAAAACGAAGAAAAGAGGAGAGTAATGCGGGCCAAATGTTCCTAGCAGTTTAACATTTTAGTATCCCAGTTCCATTTTTCGACTCATGAAGCGAAATATGTTACCATGGAGTTTGAATTTTATGTCCGTGTAAAACGTTACTTTTCATGGAGACTCTGAAATACTTTTTTTAACACGAGAGAAGTTTAATTCTTACCTTTTTGCTGAGGATTAACGAAACGGGCCATTTCACCACGTAATCAAACGAGAAGGCTTCAAGTCCTGAAAAAGAAAAAACATCCGTTGAGGAATTACTAATGTGTGACCCTCCGTCCGGCCCCGTGACTTGCACGGTGTAGCAAGAAAGCAAGGAAGAGAAACTTCAAAGAGCAGCGGACATATGATAAAATTCTTTCATTCAATTGTCGTTAGGTCAGACCAGACGGGTAAACATTTGGCTCTCGGTTATGACGTAGCTAAGTGCATGCGTCATGTCCGAAAACCAGAGATTTTCCTGTCCGGCCCATCCTCAACTCATGATCAGTCAATAAGTACATATTACTGACAAAAATAATAGCTTACTAACCTGATATCTGGAGCTCAGTGGGATCCTGATTATACGTCGTTGTGCCTGAAGCGGAAGGGTGGAGAGAGAGGGAAAAATCCTCAACAAATGTATAACATTACAAACTTAACTTTTGATGAGGTAAACAAATGGTTTCACATACCGTACCAGTTGAAATGCTACAAATATTCTGGTAAGGCAGACTTCACAATAATTACCACTTAGAGTATGTTTACCTTTACTGTCATAAGCCACAGACAAGATACGGAAGAGCTGAGTGATGAGGTCATAGGGAAGCAAATCGACTCTGCAAATGAAAGATGAAGAATGTAACAAAATGACGCACAAGTATCGTACAATGAGACAAGGTTGAAGGTTTGATCTGATTTTATGTGGCTGAGGGCGAATAACAGGGTTTATGATGGTTTCGCCCCATTGCAAGTTCACTCCCTGATTCCTTTGAGAGTTCGCCCCCTAACGTAGAACCAAAAATACAAAATGGACCTTGTCGCTCTGACAAAGGGCTAACGCTCGAAACGTCAGCTTTTAAACTCTTTACGGTGGCCAATTTATGTTCTCAACTCAGTTGATAATACTTAATTACCCTGTTACACTCTCCCACCGACGCAGCACCACAGATTCTTTAGAAACTTACCCCCTTTATTCACTTGTCGGACTTGATTCACTTAAGCGCAGCGAGGTGCGGGAGCGACCGTGAAGCGCAAGCTAAAAGAACGAAATGTCTATTTTTCCTCATTTAACGTCACTACCTGGCGTTCGCATTCTTTAAACCTTCTGCGGCCATTATTTCGATCGCGACAGAAGAAGTTTTACCAGGGTAAAAAAAACGGCAACAAAGGCAGAGGAACGCGAGTAAACCCAGTGAAATGTTTGTTCACTAATCACTGAACAAACAGAGCAATTTTCAAGTATCAAAAACTGATCCTGGAATGCTTTGGGTTTACTTATCTCTGCTCTGTGATACAGAAAATTCGCGCCATCCTCTCAACAAAGTAGATGCAAAAATACAAACACTGGGTCAATAGCGTCGTCCCGTGCCTCAAGCAGTTCGCATGCTTTCACTTTGAGTTCGCGTTAGCTGATGATAGAGTAAACCTTCGTTCTGATTGGTCTTTGGGATTACTTTGGTTTGGTTTTACAACATTCAATTGAAAACTGCTTCTAATAAAGTACCTCAAGTCATCTTTGTACGGATCATTGTTTGCTGTACTTGTCCTTAAAGCTAACTCTAACAATGTTTCCAGTCTGGAAGGCATTATATCTAAATAACACTAAATCAAAGAACTACAACTGTAACGTTTAGGTACGAGTGCATGGTCATATAATGCTTTATAACTACTTCATCAAAAATTTTAAAAAATATGGACAGTAGATGTACACGTGCCTAGTCCAAATCACAAATTAACTAATCAACAAGAGTGGCAGCAAAGGAAAGACCCAATTCCGTGCACCAAAGTAGTATCTAGTCAACAGATAACTCTTCACATAAAATGTACAAAAGCACCATTTAAAACCCACATGGCATTCACCAAGTAATTCTGAACTAACCAATGTTATTCAATCCGACATTTTTATTACTGATGCAATAAAAGTTTCCCCTTGTAAGTAACTCTTTCCAAAGGATACCATCCATGTTTTTTTTCATCTCATCTTCAGCTAGATCCATGAATTGAACAAAGAAATCTCCCAAGTCCATGAGAAAGTAATGCTTGATAGACCTGAAAATAATATGCAGTTCATCCTGGGAGTGAAAGGAAACGCAGCTAAAACTATGTGCCGCATTTCTTTTAAACTAAAAAACAAAACAAAACAAAACAAAACAAAAAATTTAAAAAAAGATATTACTGAGGCCTCCACCAAACTGCAATATCGCCTGAAACCACATCGTCACCGTGTTTCGTTAGTGAATTGTACAGGCATGACCGCGTTTTGCCCATGCGGTGAACAAACGAAGCACTAAACGGGGGCAAATTACTTAAGCCGTAGTGGTCAGTGGAAAGCGCCCTTACCTCAATCGAGCCATCAGTGCCCTTTCATCCATCAGCAGATCCAACAGTGTCTTACTAGCGTAGCTGTAAGCCTTTTCAATCTTTTCAACATATTCTCTCTCATTAAGTGTGTAAATAATCTCATCAGCGTTTGGGCATTGGACATTCTGACCTAAGGTAAAAAATATATATATATTTTAACCTCAAGAGGACCTGCATGTGCTGAAGTTGATTACATTTATACCTAACCCTTATATTTGTTTGAGTTGACTGATTTCCTTCTTTTTTATATTTAACATTTTCCTTTCCATGCTGCCGCACATATGAAACGAAAGTAACAAAACTCTTGCTGCGCTCTATATACACTTGTTGTCATCCTAACGCTGAACTTATCGCTACGCGCTCGTGACAAGACAAAAAACATCTTTTTTATTTTATCAACGGACTCAAATTTTACCACCTGTCTTATTCTAATTATTCCTATGAACATATTGCAAAACGTTTACATGTTGTCTGCTTACACTAAGAATATTCATTTGCAGTACTAGAAACACTTACCGCACTGTCGAAAAACATTCAAGTATTTCCCTGTACTGAGAATGTTTTGTGCTACCTATAAAATTGAACAAAGGTGAAAAAAAAAGTTAACCTATACCTTTCCAAAAATTCTACTGCTTCACCGGTAAAGAAGATAAAGCTTTTAAATTGCAATTTATTCGAAAGCAAATGACCATGAAAATTATTGGATGAGTGTAGATTGGGTGTAACCAAGGAAATATTTCACTCATCATCCCACACCTAATCATGCCTAATCTGTCTGAATCTAGGTACTATATTCCTCTTCGACAATTTGTGAATCAAAAAGCCAAACAACGAGAAAAAGAAAGGAAAAATTTAAAGAAAAGTAACATAAAAAGTCCACATGAAAGGATCTACCGAGAGAAACATCTTATGCCCAACCTTCACTGGCGCATACATTTTAGAAAACCAGGTACATAGGAATCATTTACAGCGATACATGCGTTTATTAAAAATATTCTATAGTTACCTTTTCCAGAAATACAGGAATGTTCTCTCTTACGACGGTGTATCGTTGCTCCCAGTAAGTAGCAAAAGTCAAGAGAAATTCACCAATAAATTATCTGTAATTGATGGACATGCTCAGAAATGTTCAAATGCTAACCTCCCTTTTCTGATTCACAGCTGAAACTTCTTTTCAAACGAGACTCAGTTCACATATTTCTGTTAGCTTTATCATGGTAGTATATCTGGCTTAAAACTGTTTACAGACCTGCCATTTTCTCTTCCCAAACTACAAGCCAAGTAAGTGCCACTGAGAGGGGAAGAAACAGTAGATGTACACCTTGGTGACCCATTTATAAACTCTCACCCCTCGTGCTTCCTTACTTACTGAACCCTTTACACCCCAACATCACCATGCATATTCTCCATACTGTTCCCTATACATCCTCTAAGGTGTTGACAAGGAGAATTTGTTTGAGCTTATTTGGTTTGTGATCATTTCCTTAATTCTTGTAACCTAAATGTGTGACTCAGGGGTGTTATTGTAAGGAGAAATTAGGTGCTAGTCACTCTTAAGGGTCAAGGGGTACTCAGTAACTATGGAAAATGGCTGTGGAAAGACTAGCGTGGCTTGTTCTTCATTAATTTATTGAAAATCTTAAACATCTTCAAAGGATATGCATCATTGTAATCTTCAGTGACCTTCTCTTTCTGAATGGAACCATGTTCTGCCACAAGGAACTAATTAAAAATGATTAAAAATACATTTATTTATTAAAACACGACATTTTAACCCTAGATAACGTAAAAAAGAAACTACACAGAGGTTGCATGGCAAAAAAAAAAACAACACACACACACACACACACAAAAACAATCAACTAGATAAAATCAATCTATTCATTAATAATCTAAATACAAAGTACCTCAGAATAAGGATCACTGATAATCCCTTTGTAAATCCACTGCTCAAGGATATCAAAATATGGAACACAAGCCTGCATAAAAAAGGAACAATTATTAATAATATCCAAAATAACCAGTTTATTCCAAATATGTTACAGGGGTAAAAACATAAATAATATAACTGTGACTGGATAAACATATTTTTATAGTTGTCAAATCAACTGTTAAAAGTGTCACCATGAGAGCTGACTCCCATAGAACAGAACACCATAGGAAGGGAGGTTCCTTGATGGGTTGCATACCCAACTTTCCTTTCTCCTTCATTTTGCCTTAACCCTTTAAATCCCAGAAGTGATCAGGATGTACCTTCTCCCTATGATATTCATACATCATCCAGCAAACAGGTGATGAGAAAACTCAAACTTACAGTTGTATCAAGCATAAGTTGTTATCTTGATCCAACACCAAATTCTCACAAATATTTTACAAGGGAATGTGTAGCAACCAGAGGGGAGAATTAACAATCACATCTTGGGAGTTAAAGGGGTAATATTCTAAAATGAAGTGGTCTGTATTATTAATTAAAAGTGTTGGTTAGGTTGGTACATATTTTGTACTGCCTTTTTTTCATTTTTTTTTTCTATTATCAGTGTTCACCTTTTAGATGGTAACTGGTAAAATTTCCCCAGTAGTACCTATTATTACAGCCTAATTTGCTAGAAGATCTTGTAAACTCAACACACTAAAAGGATTGCTCTACCAGTTTGAAAATTTCTTTTACCTGTTGTGCTTAAGTAAGGGAGAACACTGCTTACAATTAAAGTATAATTTGAACTCCATCATTATTCCATCTAAAGGGTTCATGTCAAAGTCAACTCTTTGCTCTCCTGAGGTATCCATGGGAGTAACAGGCCAAAAAAACAGTCAATCTCTGCTTCCAAACTTTGCACTCCTTTGTCACAAAGAGGGATTTTCTGGATTGAAAAATTTTGCTGCATAATTGTGGTACAGAGTAAAGTAACATGCATGATACATGCCTTCCTTAACTGCTGGGGTAGTGATTACACATAAAAATTAACATACTACTAAATTTTCAAAATGACAATACAAAACAATATGCAAAGTATAATTACACTTACTGCCTGAGTGAGAAACAAGCAGAGATCTTGGGATTTCCTGTCCCTGTGTAAATAACATCAAGTTGACACTGTTGTATGAAAAACATTTTGGAAAACAAAAGCTGGGAAAATCAATTTTTTTTGTGGACCACTACTGATGGCCCTTAAAACAAAACACATACCCTGTATATCCTACAGTCTTTTCATGTAACAGTGTCAACACAGCTCCTCCCTTACAACTTCCCTAAGGGAGAGAGAAATTTTTACCACATTAATAAATTAAAGTAAAATGAAAAATAAAAAAAAATAAAGTAATTTGAAGAAGTGGAAAAATTGCAAAGAGACTTACAAAAGCCACTTGACAGCTGACATATAACACAAACTTAACCCTTACTACCAACTTACTTTATTGGTAATTAAATGAGTTAATGAGAGGTGGTTGTATACTGCAGATGGTTTACAGCCTTTGTATGACTTAAGTGAACTTCTGTCCTCTACTTTTTTCTATGCAAATTACTATGAATTTTCATTTGATAAGTTATGCTTGTGAATGCCTTAGTTATCGCTAACCATTTACTGCTTAAATACTACTTATCCTACTAACCTTATCAATAGCCACTGATATAGATGAAAGTATCTCCATAGTTCTCATACAAGGCTGAATATAAAACCACAGTTTCTGCAATGACAGCTGACCCTAAAGCAAATACAGTATAAGCATACAAGAGAGACGTGTAAGTCACAAAACTTATATACAACCTTGCCAACAAAAAGTAATATTTTAAGAGTTTGAGAGCTGGTAGTTCTTAAGTCTTGTTAGATAAAAGTATATCTAGCTTGCAATATAAGTCTTTTCAGGGTGTGAGCATTGAACATGTTCTCCAGACAACATAGCTAGCAATTGCCACCAACAGCAGAGAAGAGGAAACCATTCAAGACCTCCTTCTTTTGTTCACCCCCTCAGTGCAACTTTACTTTTTGGCTCAAGCTTCCCTCCATCTTACTCATTCAATACCAGGGTGTCAAGAGACTGGAGAATTCTCCAGCTATAACTGGCTTTCAGGAGGTATTCTTATCCTCATGAAAGAATATTCTCTTGTTTAATTGTACACAATTCTCTAGGCTTCTTCTGGCAGTTCACTTCTTACTAAAATCCCCACGGCAGATCTAGGATTGCTTTGTTGGTATTTCCTCCAACACATGAATTACAGAGAGCTTCTAAACTTAAAGCTATAAATCTTAAAATCACCCATGCCAACCAACAATATTCCAATAACTCCAGAAGACATAAACTACATGGCAGTCAACTTCAAGCATGAACAGTTAGAAGCTATGAATTAATGAAAATCAGTTTTGTCTTAAAGGCTACAGTTAATACTGACCAGTCTGAATTGATGTTCCAGTTGTGCTACAAGAATGAGATATTCCTTTGGAAGAAAAAAAAACAGCGTATAAATCAAGAACTAACAATACCTGACTACATCACTAAAAATTAACATTATTAATAGTATTTAATATGCACATTTCTGGTGGTTGTGAGGGTGTGAATTCTACACGACACATACTCAGTCTTAACATTCTGTGTTCATAGTTTCCTCATTTACCTGTAATAAGATTTTTTATATAGTTATCAAATTTTTATCATTAACTTCTTCAAGGGGTTTCTTGAGTTGACACACAATAAATTAGCAACTGACAACAAATTAAATTCAATAATGTAGATCAACAAGTTTAAAATGGCATCATTCATTAGTCAGTTTGATAATAATATATAGATTTAGCCAAGCATAAAAGCGGAGCTCACATTTTTTTTTCCCACACATCTCAAGGGCACAATGCCTTGCCCTGGCGAGGACTAGAACCTGGGTCGTCCAACTCGAAGCCCAGTGCACTTACCACTGGACTACTGGACAAAGCCGTGGCATTGGCATGCCCACAGTACAGTTGACCACGCATGTTAAAAGTAGCACCTTGTACGGTCGTACGGTCGTACATCCAAATTTTTTCGGCTTGATGGGTTACAACTAGTTTGTCTTAATTATGGGGCTACACAAGCTCCACTATAAATAACTTCATATTACCTTCAATAATGTCCTCATTGCAGCACACAAAGCATGATTTACAAGACCATGTTCAAAGGAAGATTTTGCTGAAAGAAGAAAAAACAGCCAATAGAAAGTAATTATGATTAAACAATGAGATGAAAATCTCTAGACCTTCCTAAAGTTTCTCTCTCTTCCAGTTACAGCATCAGTGAAATAATAGTCAGACTAGTAGACCAAAAGAAATCTCTTTTTATAACTAAACCATTAATCTCTTAATAATGCTTTCAATGGCTTTGAGTATGATTATCCCTTTAACTCCCATAAATGATCAAGACAGAATTTCTCCTTGCAATATCAATACAGTATCAACCAGATAAGTCATGAGAATAAAGAAAAAGATCAATTTGGGGATAATTCGTCGATCCAATACTAAATTCTCTGAACTAATATTATAAGAATTGCATGGTTGACAGTAAGGAAAATTACAAATTTGATCTAAGAGTTAAAGGATTATCTTGAATATACCTTCCATGAATCTGCAGATAGTTGAGTAGTGTGAGCAGACTGGCAGTATCCTTTGCACCAGCTCCAAAAGTGTTATCTCTGTGAGAAAAGATCTTCATCAGTTGCACAAACACATACACTCATCGCTAACAAAGAACCATTCAAGTTAAACTCAGCCCATCCTACCAATTACATAGATGTCAAAATCAACAGCAAATATGACAGACTGTTATATTCAGGAGTAGACTGAAGTTAAACTTAACTTAAGTATAGGAGACACATGGCTTAATGGTAAGTGTCATTGACTATGGATCAAAAGGTCACTTTTTAGCTGTCAAGGTCATTGTGTCATACGTTGCAGTGTACAAAGAGCCCCTTGCCAGAAAGCTGAGAATAAACCAGAAGCCATCAAAGCTTGATGCAGGGTTCTTCTTAGAAGGAGGAAACTGAGTACAGTGGTAGCTGAGCACCAGGATACATAAGAGACTAAGCACCTGCATACAATCACATGGAATATAGGAGTTGACTTCTGATCTAAATTTTTTGGCTAGGTTTCTTCATTAGGATGCCCATTAGCACCTAAATATATAATGAAACACCTGCTGATGAAATGAAACACCATCTCATCCAGGCAAGGACACAATACTCCCGGTGGCTTGAAATGCAACGGGAATGAGTCAAAGGATAACTTCTCTCAATTTGGACCACTTTAAGCTTTTGGACAAGAAATTTTCATTTCATATTCAACTGAAGTCTTTGTAGTAAGCAAGTTACATTACCTAGAGTCTTGTCAATGGTAAAACTTCTTGCACTGTACTTGTCTTTCAGGGGTTTTACAAGCAAATATTTTCCCTCCACACCCTAAAATAAATTCAAACAAATTGGTTTGTCAAAAGCAACTCCCATCAGTAAATGAGAAAAAAATTGGTTCGACATACTGTTTAAATACTAAAAATGCCATAGAATAAAATTTTTGTAAGTTGAGACCTAACAGTACACCTTCAAGTAAGTTGAAACTTTAAACATTTCATCTTTTTTATTTTGAGTAAAGCCCTCACCATCATAAGGAATAAAAGATCTTCCACAATAGCTAACTCCTGCATTGGTAGAGGTAACGTACCAACTGACACAGGCTGCAAAGTATCCACAACCAAGGCAAGTTATTAGAAAAATACATAAACAGTGAGAACACAATGATGTGGAGGGTCTTATTTTTTCTTCCAGTTTCATTTGTATTTGTCCCAAGCATTTATTTGTGATTATTAATAATGATATACCCTGGTATCATGATGATAAACTGGAGAAAAAAAAAAGAAATGCTTTGAAGCAGCAACTGAGGGAAAGCTATGACTTATCATTATCATGAGATTTTCACATACTGGAGTGGCATGACTTGAGCCTGCTCCAGAAACATAGTCTCTGCTTAAGGTGGCTCGACTGGATTTTTCAAAAGTCATACTGTTCAAGTTTGAAAATTAACTACGACGCCACGAGCAACGTTATGGTAAAACAATTACCACAGCTGTATTACAAAAAGATGAAAGTTTGTTGTGATTGGTGTTATGTTGACATCGGAGTTTCCATAGCAAGGTAATGACGTCATGACAGTTTTTGCTTTCGTTCGTATTTCTCAGTACCATGAGGTTTTTTCGTAAATCGCTCACTGGAGCTTTTATCTCTTGTTATTGCCTAGATGTTGGCCAAGTTTGAACAAATTCAATGAGAGCATTTTTGAAAATTTTGAGGATGAAGTTTTGAGGGTTAAAAATACAGTAAAAACATTGTTGTCGAGATAATTTGGTGATATCTAAAGAAAACGATGCGCCTTGGGAATGCCGCTATACCACGTAGTTGCTTTATTCCACTTCAAATTGTATGTAAAAAGTTGGCGAGATTGCTCTTACCGATTGTGAGAAAAAAGGGTTTGATGCCTTTGCATTCAGATGCTCTTGTTGTCATTTTTGCGTATAATTTGGTCTATGCCAACAAATATTGTAATATTTTAAAAACTGCTCGATAGATTTTTTTAAAAAATCGTCAGTGCTAAGTTGTATTTTCATTGTATACGGCCTGCAGTTTTCAAGGTTATTGAAAATGTGGAAGTTAATAAAATTGGGCCTCAAAAGTACTAATTTGTTATCCCCCATATCGTGTTTACAAGTGAGCGACCTCATTATTCACAGGCATTGTTTTAAATTCTCATATCCGCGTGCACAACTTCAGCAAAAAATGAATTTGCATCAATTAGAAAGTTCGACTGCATTCGGAGATTTTTTCCGAAACATGTTAATATAAACTGAAATTTTAATGAGCTGATTTTTAAAGGCATTTGTCACGCAATTATGCTGTAATGCAGCAATGCCGAGGGTATCTCTGACGAGGAAACGGAAAACTGTTGCTCTGCAGAAAAACCAACTGACCGAGCACTCGCAAAGAAAGCTCCACGGAGCTCGTGAAAACAATTAACAGTTGTCTCGGAGCTAGAAAATCATTCACAGACGAGGACAGACGAGGAAAAAAAGCCATATATTTTGTTTATTTATTTTCTCACCGTGGCATAGTCGCGTTTCCTTTTATTTAAATTTGTATTACATGTCTTATCTGAAATGTTCATTTAATTACCAAGTATTATTGTTTAACAATTATAATATACAGAATCATATATGTATTTATATAAGCGATTATTCTTAAATAAATATTATAACTTTAACAAACGTGAATCGGGAAGATAAAAGTCAATAAACAATTTTCTGAACAAACTCTGATATTCTTTCTTTTTTTCTAATTTTTACATCGATCACCTGAAACTGCAAGGAGAGGCATTGCTGCCAACTAATGATAATAACATTCACCACTGAGATATTACATCTCTAAACAAAACTATAATTATCTAATGTCTCCTTAGAAAAAAAATACTAATAGCCAACATAATCTTAGCAAAATAAAAAATATACAACAAGGGGGTTTGGTTCGGCATTTGCGACAGTATTATCCTGTAAGTTGTCTGTAACAAACTTTGACGAGCTTTCTTTTTCTTGCTTTTAAATCATAATCACCAAGACATTCCCGCCGGTAAATGAAAACATCGATATCATTCATCAATGAAAACCTTAATCTAAGATTGCATTCGTACAAAATAGTTAACCACTGCTGTGAGTATGTTTAGGTTTTTCGTCACCCTTGGCTTACTCCGCTTTTCTTGAATTTGCTCAAAGGACTCTGGAAGAGCTAGCACCGCTAACAGAGCTTTCGTTCCACCTTTCTTGTAAACACCCTGCATTGTTTCGTAGTCAAGCCCGGCCTTTCCCATTTTCTCCTTCATTCCTTCGGAGACCGGGAGGCGATGCAGCGTGGACTTTCGGGATTTTGCCTCTTGTGCTGAGTTCATTTTTTTTACGAACAGTTCTGCAGGAACTGCGTGCGTCTGAATTCTTTCAACAGATACTTGCAGAGGGGACTGAAATAAAATACGCGACAAGGCGGTAGCATCTTCTTGTGCATCATGTGCATCAAACTTTTCTTTCAGTAAAACTTCGTAAACGTCGGACAAAGATTTGCTCTTGCAGGAATACAAAGGGCTACCTTTCTGCTTCATTTCTGTCGAAACAATCTTTAGAGAGTCCACAAGGACAACACCAGTAGCCAGGAACAATTCAAGGAGATTGTTCCTTCTCAGAGCATTGATCAGAACTGGGAAGTCAAACTTTTCACCATTGTGTGCAATAAGGACAACTTGGAAGGAACGGGACTGCTGTTTTAGGAAACTGCAAAAATCACTGAGACCCTGAGTTTGCGATACGGCCTCCAGTTCTTTCCCTCTTCTCAATAATGTTTTTCTGCCCTTACAAAACTCTACACTTATACCGTGGACTTGCGTCGCTGACTGGCCAATAATTCGATTTTCTGGAAAAAGGTTTACCGAAAATGATTTGGTTTCAGCATTTGGTGGAATGCATGAAATCTGCAGAATATCCGATTTCCGGTCTAGACCTGTTGTTTCTATGTCGAGGGCCAAATGAAGAAAACGTGAACGTTGTTGGATTACAGGTAACTCGGAGACTTCCTGGCTGTTCCCTTCGTTGGATTTTGGGAGATCATCGGTATAATCATTAAACTCCTCCTTTGTCAGACATGCCTTTAGATCGTTCATGGTTGCATTCGTGATGGCGGCTTTCTCTTTGTCGCTCTGTTGCCAGCCGATCCCTGTCTCGTACGTTGCTGACTCGCGTTTCTCAGCAGAATTGGTCTTTTGATTCTTTTTCTTTCGAGAGTTTCTTCTCGCTTTTTTGAACTCTTTTGTTGACTTTCGCTCGCCATCCCTTTTCCTTTTCTTGTCAATTTTGTCGGTGTTCTGTTCTGTGATATGCGTCTGTGCCAGACCCATTTTTTCCGTGGCTAATGTCAGATATCTGTTCCCTTTGTTAAACTGAGCTATTCCTGCAGCGGTTCTAAAGTCGCTGCTTTGCGAGCCTCCATAATGTCTTATTTTCGGCGCTTTCGAGCCAATGGAACTGTTTACACTTTCATTTCTCTGTGATGAGCCCGCTGGGGCCAGCTTTTTCACGGAGTCATGAGAAAGAAATGGTCGAATAGCTTCTTCCAAGGTTGCACGTAAATCTTCGCCCGTCAGGTCCTTGCCTCCTGGAAGACTTCCGTGCTTGTAGCCTTCAGGGTCTTTTTTGTATCCACACCAGGAATTGCTGCAGTTATCGTGTTTGCCAAACGCGTGTGGTACGATAGAGGTGAGCCCTTCGAGTAATGAGGATGGCTGGCCCTTGTTTTGGTTAACACAGTAGGTGAAGCTCTTTTGGATGTAGGATATCACGTTAGGAGTCAACCCTTTAATCTTTCCTTTAGCCATGTATAATCTCGTTCCCAGTGTACGACTTGCATGATTCACATCACTCCATTTATCAATGTCGTAGTTAACCAGCGTTTTGAGATGGTTTTCTGTGACGCTGTCGTCATCTCCCACATAAGTCGAGTAAATCACTCCACTTTTCGGGGCGCTTGAAAAAAGCTCGACTGCTACGTTTGCCTCCATACTTTTCGAGGATCCTTCGTGGTTTTTTCGACAGTCGTGGCTTTCTGCTTCTTTATTCTTTTTCTCCGCTTCGTCACAAACCCTACACATTTTATTGCGAGTAGCATAACTAATGACTTTTCCGGTATGTAACCCCACTGCTGTGCCCACTCCTGACGACGAGTCGTGACAACGTCCTCGCTTTCTCCAGCCCATATCGTACGACACTCCGAGTTTTACTACTTCCTCATTTCCAGTCGTGGACAACCGCTTTTCTTCCTCATTAAACTGATTACAAGAATCTTTAGCCACTTCTTCTACTGCTTTTCCACTTTCTCTTTCCCGCTTTTTGAAATTGCTTGAGGAAATTGATGGTACACCAAGTGTTGTAAGAAATCCAGAGGTATGCGTATGTCCCAATCCACAATGCAGTGCACCAAGCCCAGCACGGGAATTAGCGTCGAAGGTGGGAGGGCCTCTTTTTCCAGTACGATGATGCTCGGCCGGGCGTACGATGTTAATAAACTCACATTGTGTGCATTTAACTTTTAGTACTGGACACACTCCTTCCGGGCGAACATTAAAACTATTACGTAAATCTAGGGGTCCTTGTTTACAATTCACACACTCGCTCAAAGCGGTTGTTAGCATTTCCAAATTAACCACATAACACTGATCCATGTTTACAGCTTTTGTGTACGGCAGACTTGATCTCAAGGTGGGTCCCTCCGGAACATTGTCGGCTGTATTGCCTAAACTTATTTCATTTCTAACTTTATCACTCCATCGCTGCTCTCTCATTGCCTTGCATTGTTCTTTCCTAACCGTTTTGGATCTGTAATTAGCTGGACGCCCTGGTTGAGACTGTAGCTGCTCCTCAGCATCCTGTAAACAAAATTTACTAGTTATATAACAAATCACTGACAAATGGAGACCCTCATTGAAATAATGTAGAAAATCGTTATGAAAACATCCATACCTGTGATTCACTTCGTCTAGCCTTCTTTCCTACGGCCACGTTGTTCTGCAGAACAGCAGTTTTCCTTTTTCTAGTCAGAGATTCTCTCGGCATTGCTGCATTACCGAATAATTGCGTGACTAATGCTAAAATTTCAGTTCATATTAGCATGCTTCGGAAAAATATCCGAAAGTAGTCGAGCTTTCTCTTTAATGCAAATGCATTTTTCGCTAAAGTTGTGCACATGGATATGAGAATTTAAAACAATGTCTCTGAATAATGAGGTCGCTCACTTGTAAACACGATATGGGGAGTAACAAATTAGTACGTTTGAGGCCCAATTTTATTGACTTCCACATTTTCAATAACCTTGAAAACTGCAGGCCGTATACAATGAAAATACAACTTAGCACTGACGATTTTTTAAAAAAATCTATCGAGCAGTTTTTAAAATATTACAATATTTGTTGGCATAGACCAAATTATACGCAAAAATGACAACAAGAGCATCTGAATGCAAAGGCATCAAACCCTTTTTTCTCACAATCGGTAAGAGCAATCTCGCCAACTTTTTACATACAATTTGAAGTGGAATAAAGCAACTACGTGGTATAGCGGCATTCCCAAGGCGCATCGTTTTCTTTAGATATCACCAAATTATCTCGACAACAATGTTTTTACTGTATTTTTAACCCTCAAAACTTCATCCTCAAAATTTTCAAAAATGCTCTCATTGAATTTGTTCAAACTTGGCCAACATCTAGGCAATAACAAGAGATAAAAGCTCCAGTGAGCGATTTACGAAAAAACCTCATGGTACTGAGAAATACGAACGAAAGCAAAAACTGTCATGACGTCATTACCTTGCTATGGAAACTCCGATGTCAACATAACACCAATCACAACAAACTTTCATCTTTTTGTAATACAGCTGTGGTAATTGTTTTACCATAACGTTGCTCGTGGCGTCGTAGTTAATTTTCAAACTTGAACAGTATGACTTTTGAAAAATCCAGTCGAGCCACCTTAAGTAAGGCCGTTCAGTGACCCAAGAAGGAGTGGGTGGTAAATTCCCTAGGAAAATACAAAAAATTTAGATTAAAAAAAACCTGCATAGCAATACATGTAGCCCTGCACTGTTTTAACTTGTTTCAACTTTGGAAAAACCTGCTTGTATCATGCAAATTTGATCTTCTTGCCCTTTCCTTTAACCTGCCACGCACAATATACAGACAGTGTAGTGTCGTATCTCTAAGTATGCATTTCTCATAAGAATAGAATGACATGACTGTATGTTAACTATGAATATTAATGTTGTGAAATGTATTTAATAAGTGATGTGAATATTGATTAAAAGTGTGTTGTAAGTTGTGACCATATACATGTAACTGAAATATTGATAGACTTTACAGACAGATTACAAATTCAGAGACAGATCAGAAAAACATTCATCATTATATGTAGCACTGAATCTTGACCATAATGTTTAACAAATGAATCTAGAATCTGTAAGCTGTTTTGACATACCAGTCCTCCTTGCTTGTTTCTCTCGCAAGGCTTTAAGTACAGCCTCTGGAGATGATCCTGATTGACTATTACTACTTGTGACTGAGGCAAGCTTAGTACGGAGCTGTGATAGACACAACAATTAACAAAAGAATTTATTACTGGGGTAATCTTAGTCAATTTAATTCTTTTTCTCAACATATAGATGGCACATACCCCTTGTTCAATACCAAAGTTAGTTTATCATGTATTTTGAGTGCTGGGGTGTGAATAGTTCTGATACTTTGACTCTGACAAAGACTTTTTGCAGGTTGTGGAAACCTCAGTTTCTGTTTCATATAATAGTTCAGTTATCAGTATTATCATCATAAGATGAACAGACTACAGGATAACATTAACTCAATCTTCATCAGCAGTAATCATGAACAAGTCTACCATCTGAACATTTCCTCCTAATATAATCATATGTATATAATCATTCTGTTTTATTCTTAGGCTATTTCCATGGTTACCTCATTAAGTTCATGTTGCGACATGGGGCCTGATGGAGGTATGATATCCTGTACAGCATCAGCTTTTGCTATTACACTACTTTTGGCTCCACTTGAAATAGCCACAAGATGTGCCTTAGAGCGATCCTTGGAGTTCTTTTCAAGGAAAGTTAGCATCTAGAAAAAAGATATTTTACCGCAAATATTAACTACAGTGATCTTGCTCCATCCATGGTAAGATCTTAAAGCTTCAGTAACAGTAATCGTACAGGAATAAGAACTGTGAGACAGTGAATCATAAACACAACCCTAAAAAAGATCCTGAAAGATCCTGCAAGACTATTCACCATCCATGGCAACTATTTCTCTATGGTCTCTAAAGTAGGAACATCAAATTTTCAAACCTGTTTATCCTCTGCCAGTCTTGAGAGCAGGTAAACCAATGGATCAAGTTCTCTGACACTGAATTTAAACATCAGTCATTAAACAAATGATAACAATGATACAAAAATATAAAGCCAAAACCAAAGTGATCACAAATTACACCAAATCAAAGGAAAAGAGAATACCACAAGGATCAAATGAGAACCCAAAGTATAACTATGTAAACTGCTTAATTCCTGGGAAAAAGGGTGGGTGACTAGATCAAAGATGAAGTTTTAGTTCTGAGTCTGATTTTTTGAGAGAATGGCAGGAGTTTTCTGGACCAATTATTAAAGTAAAGCAAAACAAAGTTTTAATAGCATTCATTGATCGCCTTTGACATTTACTGGTAATTCCTCTCAAATGTTCCAAGCTGATAGTATTTAAAACTAACAAACTAAGACTATTGTCATAAGCTGAGCATGAAATCTTATTGGAATATGCTTATGTCAGAGTGCAATGAATGCTAGAACCTCATGCTTCCTGGGTCGCCATGTCGATTGATCATGCTATGTTGTAATGATTTGTTGTGAGTTTCTCTGTTGATACTACAAATCTCACCTGCATTCAGTGAATCTAAAAACAAATACTACCACAACACAGCAATAAATGACAAAAGAATCATGCCACTCAACTTTTTAGATTTCAATTCATCATATTTCTTTAAAAAGTCCCTTGGAGTTGAACTTGTTTCAGCTATCTTCTTTTTAGCTGCGTGAGCTGATACCTGATTATACAATGAGAAAACTGTAAGCTACTTAAGTTTAATCTTGCGACTTAAACATTCAAGTTACACCCTAATATTAGTATTCACATTCTTCATACTATTCCCTTTACATTTCCTATAGCAATAATGAGGGCAATTTGTTTGAAAATCAGGAACTTAAATTGTTGATCATTTCTTTTATTCTTATAATCTTTACATTTGATTCAAGGAGTATAGTGTTTAGAGAAATTAGAAGCCAGTCACTCCAAAGGGTAAAAGGGATAAGTCCAATGTAGCTGGTAAAAACCATGTAACATAACCAGTGAGGTTTTCTAGCAGCAGGCTCTTATCTTATATGGTACATAAACCTGTTGAATGGAGTATTTGTTACGTACCAACTCCAACATAGATCAGAATCATTCAATTAGATTTAGCCTTACCATATTAATTGTTATTTGTAGTGCCATTGTTTTTAATGATTCGACAAGTATAGTAACTGTAGTAAAAATACTCTAAATATCAGTTTAAATATCAATATTTTAGTTGGCCTATACAGTAAAATAATCTTTAATAGAAATGTGCTGCTAATTTCTTACCTGTGTTGTCACATAAGGGGTCAAGTTCTTTGTCAACATTTCAGCATACACTTCAGGGCCATCTCCTGTGCTGGCTCTGAGTAAAGCAAAAGTTAGAGTAATCACGTAGCATTATTTCAATTGTGTGATGCTTATCAGCTTATCAGATTTTCATTTCATATATTCATTTTTCTTCTTTTCAAAGTTAGCGTGATTTAGAGACAAGAAAAGTATCCTTCAAGTATACCAATTGAAATTTGCAAGTCTGTGGTTTTAAAAATTCATGCGAAATCATACATAGTTCCAAGGCTGATCGAGAGGAGTTCAGTTAAATTCAACCCTTTGCCGAATAAGCTAACCTCTTGCGGCGGCGAAAACAAAAATACCCTCCTATCTCCCTAAAAAATTAAGTAACATTTTATATAGATGCCTGCAATACGCAATAAATATAAAAATAAGCCAATTTGTTTACCTCGATCTAGCAGCAACCGAAAGTCTGCAAAGCAAGGACACTTCATGACACGATTTGTTAAAGTGACTTACCCTAATAAGCCCAAGAGCTGCGAAACATGGTGATGTATCCTGAATTCGCTCATTTTAACTCTATTTGCAACAAGAAACTAAACAATTTGACCCAATATCCAATAAAGCCTATATATTGCCGCCATTTTCAATTTTTATTAATTTAAAGATTGGTTGTTGCCGCTGACAAAAAAATCTGCTATCATTCTCTCGGCTAGACCCTGGGATGGAAACTTGTTTCCAGGAGCTGCGCGGAAATGGAAATGGTGGATTGTTGATGTTCTGGTTGTTTTCTTGGAATTCTTTGGAAAAATACTCTAGGGGAGATCGTGGATAGCATGTATGTTTCATCAGGTATTCCAGAGTGGAGGAAATTGGTAACTCAACGAAAGAGTGGGAAAACGAAAGGAAAAATGGATGTCTGTATTATCAGTCCAGAGGGAAGAAAATTTCGTTCGCGCGCTGAGCTGCAGAGGTACCTTTCACGTACAACTGAGGAAAGTCACCCCTCGATCGAAGATTTTGATTTCCGAGTTCCTAATTCTCTTGCAGTTTCAGATATCGATTGTATTTCAAGCGGGTTCAATGATCTAGCAGAGGCGATAAAGCGGGAAACACCACAAGATGAAGTAGGAAACAAACACGTATTCACCCTACAGAGGACTTTGAATCCTCAAAAGACTTCTCCGTATTTTCTAAAAGCTAACAGTTTGCGAAAAGAACTAGTACAACATCGCAATTTAAAACGACGGTTACGAAGCGAGTCTGTCCCTGAAAATCGTTTTAGAGTCACACATAATAAAAGAGTTAGAAAGTCGAAGACAGACGAAAGTAGAAAGTTCATATGCAATAAACGGAAAGAGGCGCGAAAACAAGCAGCTGATGGTTTCAAATATCGTAAGATCTCAAGTAAAAGAAAAGTGAGAAACTCGAACACTTTAAAGTTAACCGAGATGAATGGTCCTGATGAAAATACAAATTGTGACAATCAAACAGGAAGTGAAATTACAGCTACTACTGTTTCGAGTCACTACTTCAAATCAAGTGATCCAGTCTTCAAAAATTCAAAATTTGTATCCAAGTGGATCCCTCCTAAATCTCCGTTCAATTTGATTCAAGAGAGCCTTTTCCATGACCCATGGAAACTGCTTGTTGCAACTATATTTCTAAACAGAACATCAGGAAGGAAAGCTATTCCAATCATGTGGGATTTTTTTAAGAAATATCCTGATCCCGAAGTTACAAAAATAGCGGATTGGAAAAGAATTGCGGGTAAGCTTTAGATATACTTTGGCTCAAATGGGATGATTTCTAGGAGCAAACACGATGGGCATTCCAATGGAAGCATTTCAGAAGCAGGCTCATAATTTGGAGGTTTCAAATCAATAAAAGAGCACCATCGGTCAGTTACCCTCTTGGGTGTGCTTTTACAGCCCCAGGGAAAATTTGTGCTTTTCCTTGATGTTGTGTTGTCTTATTTTTCTGCTCGAAAATGATTCCCAAGAGTCAAATACAGTATCATTTCACATCCAGTCCACTCTTTCTAATTTCTAATTTAGGAATCAACTCTCAATTTGTCCATGTTGACCAAACCCTGGAAAATCATTGTTTACCCTCTCTTTGGTACTAAATTATTATTGATCTACCTTTCCAGATAAGCAATGTTCCTTTCTAAAACTTACTGAAAGCTCTGTAGAGAGTGTGCCCTGTTTTTGAAAAGAACCTCTCTGATCAATGAAAATTATTGTCTATGACATGGTGGCTGAAATAGTTAGCATGCCAAATTACAGGTCAAACTATCAGGGTTTGAGTCATAGATAGTTATTATGTGCTGTTCTTGGGTGAGATAGTTCATTACCATGGTGCCTCTCTCCACCCAGAAATATGTAAGGCAGAATATGTTTGTTTCAAAGGTGATAATGAAGAAATGTAAAATGGTTTCCATGTTTACATAGCCTGATGTAAACACGTGGGAGGTTGGGAGAACACAAGATAAGCATAGGAAACCACGACGCGAAGCTGAGTGGTTTCCAGCTTATCAAGTGTTCTCCTGTAGTGGTTTCCAGCTTATCAAGTGTTTCTCATGTAAAATGGTTTTATGGCCAATCAGAGTGCATGTACTATTTTAATTATTTTATAATGCACAAGTAAAACATTAAGACACAATAATTTCACTTCAAGTCATGGAATTTTCCTTACTTTACCAGAGCTCCTCCAACCATTGGGTCTACATGAAAAAAGAGCCAAAATCATCATAAGATTTTCAGAGGAATTCCTTACTAAAGACTGGACTTACCCAATTGAGTTGTATGGCATTGGAAAATATGGAGATGATTCATATAAAATATTTTGCCTTGGTGACTGGAAGAGTGTTACCCCTAATGACCGTAAGCTCAACTTTTATCACAAATGGCTTTTGGAGCAAGATAAAGAAGGATTTTGAATATCCAAAACTTCATCAACATGTTATGCACTAAGGTAATACTTTTATTGAAACTAAATAACAGTTGCAAACCTTGCAAAGATTATCTGTCAATTTTTCGGGTATTTCTGTTCTGGAAAATGATGCAAAGTATTTATAAAATATGCCAGATAAAGGCTCTACATCTGAATTATTAATAAAAATATCTCAGGCTCTAAAAATAGAGGCAAAAATATTTTCTGTGTTGTCTCAATCTCACATGTCTACTAAATACCCTGAAAACTCTTTTAATGCAAGGAGAGAATTCTTTAAGTAAATGCAGACCTTGCATAAATGCAGTGTTATTGTTGTTTTGGTTCCAGATTGGATTTTCACACTTACACTCTGTCCACCCTAAAGGATTATTACCTGTGATTGTAAATTGCACACAATTTTTTTGCTTTCAACAGATAATGGCTGGTGGGAGCTTTGACTGGACAAGTGAAACATGCTGAAAGGGGTCCACTGTATTTCTTTGTAATTCAAGCCTTGGCAAAGAAATAAACTCAAGTTTTCTAAAAACAAATATAACGCAGCCATAAGCCAATTATTGGAAGTGCAACTTATCAATTATTACAGCATGCATTCCAATATCATTTATAATTTGTTATTTCCAAATATTTTTACACTGATGAAATAATTAACTCAACCATTAAATATTTTTAGAAAACATGCTGCAGCAAGAGTAGGCTTATCTTTCAAAGAGTCAAACTTTCATTTAAATTCTTGATGTTCGTACTTTCAGACTTCACTAACTACAGCTAAATGAATTATAAGTAAGGTAAAATTCAAAATTCTTCCCATTTAGAGACCGATCATTGATATAAGATATAAGAATCTAAGTGTTGTCAATACAAATCTAGGTGCAATCTTCAGTTGTTCAAAACCTTCCACAGAACATATTCAATTATTGACATTCAATGGTGTACTGTTCAATCCTGCTGAGTAAAACAGCAGTCCATGCTTTGGTCTGAAACCTTTATTTCTAACACTCCTTGGTGCACAGATGCCTCTGTCAGAATCACTGCAATTGATTTTCCCACAGAGCTTTCCTTAAGACCACTGAGGTTGGGGTCTTCATCACAGCATTCTCTGACATCCTCAGCATTGAGAGATTTCTCACTAGTTTTCATCTCAAAGGTAACACAATCCTGTGAAAAGAACCATTTAAAGTCAGGTGACAGCCTTTGTAGCATGTGCTTGAACACAGCTTTGCATTCCCCTTTAATTGGTGTGTATCATAGTAGAATGTGTACATCTGCAACAAGGAAGTGGCTTGAGGGAGGCAGATACTAATACATGTTTCACCCCTTTCTTTAACAAAAAAAAAGATAACTTATGCCTCCATATGCCAGTGAGAAGCTTGAGTAGGACCCAACCCCTCGAAAATCAGTCCATCACTGGTTACCCTCACGCATTTTCATGGGTTTCCATGACAGTCCACCAATACTCATCAAAAATACTTCTATGTGGAGAGAGGCACTATATGCAAGTAGTGTTTGGCCTACAAAAACAATGCAATCTCAGAATGACATGGCAAGGTCTTGCACTCTGACCACTCCACCCCAAGTTCCCTGAGCTAACCATAAATTAAGCCACTGTTTTAACTGCACAAAATGTTAAGAGCTCTAGAGGAAATTTTCAGGCATATCAAAAGTCACTGTAGCAATAATATTGAAAGAAGAACAAACCTGTTGTTCATTTCTTGACAACTGAAGAGAGTTCAAAAGAGTCAGAACCTGATTCTTGTAAGTTTGGATCTCAACAACCACTGGACCTCTTACAATACTATAACATGGCCTTAACTGACATCTGACATCATACCCCTGTCTAAGGTAATCTTTGAGGTCTACATAAGATGTGCTCCCAATTTCCTCATCATCACAGAGAATCTGAAGGTGCTTTACCTCGGCACAAGTGGGGAGGTGATCTGCACAACAAGAATGGTATTTATGAGAAAAATATTAAATTGGCAAACATTTTAGTATTTAACGATAAAAAATTATAATAAAACATTTCGTAAAAGTATATTAGAAATATGTTGACGACGTTTTGATGTTTGGCTAACGTCATTATAGTGAAAGATAAAAAATGTTTGAATACTAAAAAGACAATAGGTGATGGAATGTTCTTTTAAACAAAGAGTTTTGCGCAAATGGAATCAACCTGCGTGTTGAGACTAGGATTGTGCTGCTTGATGAAAAGCATCTCATAGACAAGACGGTCAGCCAAATAACGAAACATCGTCAACATATTTTTAATATGCTTTTACGAAAATTTTTATTATTAAATGTTTAAAAAACCACTTCTTTTTTGTAAACATTTTAGTCTGAGAAAAAAATGTTCTACCTGTAATTGTTGCAACTTAAAACTACCAATGGTGATTGTCCCCAACACTTCCTTTCTTTATTCAGTCACTCACTTTTATTACCTTTCATTGTTGATCTGTTTCTAATTTTTTTAACGTGTAGAGTGAAATTCGTGACTGTATGATTATAATCCAAAACATTCCAGTTTAATTGCTGTAAACTAAACAAAACGGCATGCAGAATCATTAGCTTGTTAATCAACTTGTGTTTTTAAATATATTTACCTTTAACCTTGTCAAACACCATGCATTGAAAATCAAAAAGGTGAAGAGGGAACTCCTTAACTACAATTCGCTCTGTATACCCAGAAGCTGATTTGAACACCATCTCATCACACAATGGTTCTTCATTGTAAAAAGCCAGTATTGTGTCCTTTGAGTGAAGTGTTCGTATGCGTGGACGCTGCCTTTGTCCACCAGCTTTAGCGGCAGCTTCTTCCACGTGCTTTGAGAAGAAATCCTCCAGGTTTGAAGCAGTAATATAACCCACTGATTTGGCTTGAGCTTTGAATGCACCACAAAATTTACAGTTTGTAACTTTACAATCATGTGCACCACGCAACCCACAAGTTATGAAGCGTGTCAGAAAGCTTCCTGTTCTGGCCAAAGCATAAGAAGATTGTTGAGATGATGAAGAAGACCACTGACGTATGGTAAAAGGTGGTGTAACTGGAGCTTTGTGGATCACATTCCCATCCACAGCACTAAAATCAGTTGCTGCTATGTCTAAATCTGTATTTGAAATAGGACTCTTGTCAGTAGCACAACAGTTCTCATCGCCACTTGCCTTTCGTAGTTTACTGCACAGTGACTCAAGAGGATGTGGTGGGGCCTCCACATTCACTGGGTTAGGTGACTTGTGAACTAAATAGCTTTCATCCTTAAGATGTTTTGAAGCAATATTGCCATCAGCAAAGCAGCAATCCAAAATAATCAAGAATTCACGGACATGGGGACTGAGAAGGTTTAGGTGCTTTTCCAAATCATCCACCGTTAGGCAATCATTGTCAGAAGAACATAGCAAGTTGCCATTATGATCACTGTGACCAGAGAAATAAAAATAAACAAACACATTCGTCTTTCCTTGAAGCTTCTGTTTAAGGTCTTGTAGAGCTTTTTTAACTAGGTTGGATTGTGATGCACCTCTTGATGTATTCGGTTTAATGGTAAATATGTGATCTTTTCTAAAAGCAAGAAAAAAAGAAGAATGGTCATGTGGCACTAAAAGAGTAAGAAACTTACCGTTTTTATAAGGACAAATACCTCACTCAAATATTTATAACTTAGAATAGTAATGGTTAGGTATTTCATGGCCACTTTCTTAGATTGAGGCATTAATTTGAATTATAAGAAAGAGAAAATGAGGTCACAGTGACACAGAATAATTTTAAGCTTTGGATCAGCCAAGATTTATTCATGAAAAACAAAAGGACCATGCTTAAGATTTGTATCATTTTGGCAGTAATTTAAATTTATATCTTCTTTGAATGTTTCCATTTGTGATGGTTAGCCTCTTTTAACCATACTCAATCTTCAGGTAATTGAGCCTCATGCACAAGCAGTGACTTCTCCCAGCACAACTTTGGCCACCTAGTATCATTGGAAACCCTTGGATCTGGATGATAATTTAACTCCCACTTACATCCACAATTGTCTATAACTTTGTTGATCATAGAAATGACATCAACAATTTCCAAAACTGAACTGTAACCATTAATTGTGGTGTTAATTTAATTTATGATCCATAACCTTTTTGACCATGGCTCTAAACCAAATTAGCAATGAGGACAGGAAAACTGTTACAGTCATTGTAAGTAAATAATCTACCCTATACATGCGAGTAAACTCCAGGGCTCAGTAGTTCAAAGAGCAGACAACACCATCCAACAGATAAATTGCTAGCCAGCGGATAAGAGTTGACAAAACATACTGTGCTATCCACAGTATAGAGATTTATCCAGTGGATAGCGTTATCCACCCTTCGATCAACCAGGGCCAGGACAATAATCCCATCTGAAGCCCCTATCTTACACTTTCAATCTAGATCAAGTCAAATAAGTGCCCAAAATTGGCTAAATATGAGTAAGTAACCAGTATTTAAGCCTATGATCCTAGAGCCCTACCTAACTCCAACAATGCGGCAATCAGTTAAAACATTTTTAAAGCCTATTAAATCATGTTGAAAGATTGTAGCTGCCTTTGGTGAGTCTGGGTCATTTCCACAAACTAGAACTGCATATGTATCCGATCCTCCTACAATTAAACAAATCACCTATATTAAAAAAAGTGTAACTTATTGTATCCATCATTCTTAATTATTAAAAAGTCCAAGATGCACTGCAAACCAATCAAACCACACTACTACAAAAATATATAAATTAGCCTTAACAGTTAACTGCCCATAAAAAGTTTTTCAGTTTTTACAGCCTTCATTTGACTGTATATAATTATTATAACATTACAGGGTGGTTCATTAGATAAACAACTGTATGGAATACCTTACTAAAGGACAAGAGCAAAAAATATTTTAAGAGCAAACCAAAAGCTTGGGTCTTGATGATAGTGACAAAACTTTGACTACATGTTAACACTTCTAAATGATAAGCTATACCAATTGGAGGTTCAGCAGGCCCATGGTATGGACATTCCAGAGGGTTTCGGTGTGCTTGCATCAAACATGTAGCACAAAAATAGTCACACTCCTGAACAGTGTTGCAGCCATGTGACCTCACTCCCAAATACTTTGCTATTGGCAAGAAAAAAATGAATTTTAATAGATAAGTTAAGAGATCCAGATATGGAAAATGGGGATCTGAGTTGCGAAAAGGCTAATAAAGATGCATTTAACTACTAACAATATAAGAATATAATTAAATTTTTACATACACTGTAATTAGTCAAATAATAACTATCATGTACTTTATAATTTTGTAGTTAAAAGCAATTTAACAGAGTTAATAACACAGAGCATCAGAATTCTCTAGTAGTCAGTGGTTTTGCACATGCATCAGAATTCCATGTGCTCCTCATTTGATGTGTTTTTGCATGTACTTTGAGTGCAAACTTTCAGCGTTGTTCGGAGAGGCAGTTCATTGTCCAGGCAGTTTTCTCCACCCCTTCCTTCCCTCTTTCCACTGTTCATTTAGCATGATGGGTGCCTGTTTCTTTTTCTTGTGTTGGGGCTCGTGGTTGGGTACCAGGATTTGCTAGCTATAGGAGCAGTCTCCATCTGGAAGCTGGCTGCCAACAGCGAAAGCTTCTGGATGTTTCAGGCACCCAACCTCCACTTAGCGATGCAGTTTTTAATGTATTAAAAAAATGGTACCAGCCTACCCTTACTGCCAAGAACACTGGTCAGAATTGGCCAACTCTAGTTAATTATTATCATACAATAAGTACATCAAACTGCTGGATTTTCAAGAGATACATACATGAATGATTTAGTAGACAAGAAACACAATAGGCTCCTTCTTTGGAATATTTACTGACTCCTTTCTTGTCCAGTAAGTCCTTTTTGCAAGACATCAAAACATTTTATGTTTAGTTTACTGTTCTACCTTACACAAATACATGTACCTTTACGGTACAATTTGCATGGGATTTGAGGGTAAATGGATGGAAAAGTGCCCATACTGATTTGAAACAATTATTAATAATAGTACATTCAAACATTACACATTTTCACTTTTCTATTCAAGCCTTGTAATCAAAGCCATATTTTCTCCCTTAAAATGTTAATATCTGGTTTCTGAGCAGCTGTTTCAGTCACCTAGCTTGCGTTATGCAGGTTATATGTCACTGTTGTCCTGTTGCATCCTAAACTCTACCTGAATCTTTAAATCTAGCTGCTTGGAGATTCTCAATGAAATGTTTAAGCATTTTGCTGACTTTCTTTTCTTTTAAAGAGGGTAAAATCTGCTTTTTAGGGTCCCACCACTCTATCATGACAGGCCTTCAATAGGTGGGAGTGAGGTGGGTGGCTGAGTTGCTAACTAAAGATGTTCTACAATCATTATGATAAGTTAAGTCTCTTAACTTCAAGGCACCTAACATCTAAATACAGCCTAGCAGACAAAAGTAACTTCAAAATGTTCCTTACCTCTAGTCTCTTGCACACATTTGGCAGTTTTTCTCTGTCCTCTGGTGGTTTTACACAGTTTATTGCAAGATTAGCAAATTCTTCAGTGAAACCTTTTTCATCTCCACTTTCAGGCCACACATCCTAGCAGCAATACACAAAACATTTTAATATCATGATGATACTTCAAGTTCTAACTTAAAATAGACATATTGCCATGATGCACAAAATATTTTTATTGTTACCTTCTGTGCTGAACCAATTAAGTTTTTTACATCTGAAAACACTCCTTCTTTATAAAGTTTGTCATACAAGGTCACATTGTTTTCAACAGCTCTCTTTTGAGTGAGAAGTTCCAGGAGCACTGAAAAATTAAACATAGTAAACAGTTTACAGGGTAAGGTTTCAATTCACTTTTAATTAGTCTGTCAATTAAACAGACTGAGGTGAATAACAGTTAAACGAGCCTGTAATCTAAAACAATAATAGTCAAAAGCATAAATTCAAAATATAATTGGGAATTTTAAAGAAATTTTAGGGTAAAAAAACAACACCCTTATTGCTGGTCCTTAACAAGGATGAGGACCACCTGTTTTCAAGTTCCTTTAAGATAGCCTTCCAGGAGGCCCTTGGTATAACTAGTACGATATGGAAAGTGTTTCTTTGTGAGCAAAAGAGTTTGAGCCTTAGAGCAACACTAACAGGCAAAGTTTGCAAAAACTTCATCACAAGTAATAAAGAGCTAACCTGCCATAAATGACAGGAAATTGAATCAACAAATGTTCATTTATATCAAAAAGAGTTTTTTAGACCATGTCCAATCCCTTTTAGATAGATCCCATTATAACAAACCCACAATATTTTCTTACAATTCTCGTAAATAACACAATTTGAGCAACTGCATACCTATTCCAAATGAGAAAATGTCATTAACAGGTTTAAAGTGTCTTTCTTTAAGAAATGCATCAAGGTATCCAGTTGTTCCACGAATCTGACTGAGAGATGCATAAGAGTAATCCATAGGTAACTCCTGAGCCATTCCAGCATCTCCCAGACGTGCATTAAACTGTTCATCAAGAAATATATTCCCTGGCTTTACATCCATGTGTACAATTTCCTGCCTACAAAATAAAATCAATATCAATAGAGAAGAATGCAAAACTGCATTGTGCTTTTATGATGACCCACAGCATTTTAAGTACTATAAATTATATTTTTTTAACTATAGACATGTTAAAAGAAAACTTTCATGAGAATTTAGAAAATAAAGTTCAGTATTAATGTTGTCATCATTATCAGTGTCCCTATAAGTATCAGGATAACCATCATAATGACTATAATTGTTCTCATTATTTAAAAATCATAATCTAGTCTTGGGGCATCCTCTTTTCATTAAATTCACAGTTTGAACAGAAGTGACAGGTTTGTTCCTGTTGTTGCTTAATATGTAGTTCTGAGTTATGTTGATTTATGAAAGATCCCAAAACTGTTCCTGATCTCCATCTAATTCAAGAAATATGGAAGTTTGGAAAAAATTGCTATTTATAATAACTATTAACATTATTGATATCACTATTACAAATATTAGAATTTCTTAACCATAGTATTATAATTATTATTATAATTATTAGTATTTTCACTGTCATTATCAATATAAATAAATACATATCATTATTGTTGTTGTTTTTATCGTCTATAAAATCATAACAATTTTCAATGAACATCAATAGCCTAGTAAAAATAAATGATAAAACAACATCAGAGCACAAACCTTACACATCTCTTGTTTTTCACTTCTGTATGCAAATAATGCAGTCCCCTGGCAGTATGAAGGGCAATCTTTAGTCTAATGCCAAAAGGTAATTTTTGGCCTTTTGAGTGCTTTCGTAGAGCCTTATGTAAATCAGTGTGCATTTTAGGATACATAAGACAGCGTGGTTTGCTGCAGAGAGGAAACAGAGATTGATAAATAATGGTAATAGTACCAAGTGGAGTCCAATTGTCTGTAATCATGCAAGTGATTAACACAATTGGACAACCACAAAACATGAGTCCGGTTTGTCATTTATGAGTATGGTTACAGACACAATTGAATGAAACAAAGTCCTGCTACCAATTAATCATTACAATTTCTGAAAAAAACAAATCATTTACTGTAATTTCCATCCATTTACCCGCGCCGCAGATTACCCAAATTGGTCAATTTTTGCAATAACGAGAAAAAATTTTCAACAGATTACCCACACTGGCAGATAACCCACACTCAAAAAAAAAAAGACAAGTAAAAACATTCAACTTTGTCGACTCACCCTTCCTCCTCACAAAAAGCACTGATCATAATTGAGGAAATTGTAATTTTTATGATTACACAAAATTATCTTCTGCATTCTGATGTAAAGGACTCACCCTTCCTCCTCACAAAAAGCATAAAGGGGCATCAAATTGGGATGTTTAATATAACCAACTTTTTTTTCCTGAAGCAAAATCAAAATCATGTTGAGTTCTATTGAGTACAAGAGTACCCAAGGTGACTTTTCACTCAAAATCAAATTGTTCCTTACACTGGTATACATGTATTTCAAGTGCCTGATACTTTCTCAATAAATCCACGGGTTGGGTTCTAAAATTTCCCCATGTTGTACATTGATTTCCAATGGTACCTGAGCTGGGTTAAGTGCAATTTAGCCTGAAATTATAATTGCATGATTTCACAATAGGATGAGCAGATTCCTGATTAAATCACACTGCAAAATGTCACTCAGATTACCAGGATTGCCAGCGATTTAAATATGGGTGATATGACACAAGATAACTATTTTCTTATTCAACAAATAAAACACAAATCAATCCTGTTACAAATCTGAAGCTTTTCATCTTGAGAGTTTTTGCATCTTTGTCTCAATAAGCTTTGATTTAATACACAATTATATGCGGTATATATTATATGTCATTACCCTCTTTAATTGTGCTCCACCTTGGGGAAGTCCAGAGTAAGTCTGGTGCTCTTCTTTGATGACAACAGTCTGACCATGAAATTTCTTGGTACCTAAAAGACAGGAAGACAAATACAATCAATTAGTACCACACTTCTACCTTAATAGTTAATCAGCCTTATTGTGCTTTTTATTGGGATATGAAATATTTTCTGTAACTTTACAATAAAATACCCCCACAGTGTATCATCTGCACTCTGTCCCTAATATTCATCCCTCCCTCCCATCTCCAACTGAGACCATGACACATTTACTGAGTAAGCTAACAGTAACTGTACCTTCATAAACCTTCCCGAAGCCTCCTTTACCCAGTAGTTTACTGTTTTTACTACTGAAATATTTTTTAAAACAGTTATAGCTCATCTCAACTGGGCATTTCTGATGTAAATGTGCTGCAACTTCGGTATCATAATTGACTGACACAGCTCTTTCAACTGGAACTTTCTCTGAAGATGAACTTCTTGTGATTTGACTGGAGCCTGTAGTGCTTGCCATTAGTGTGGGGTCTACTCTTTCAACTGGAACTTTCTCTGAAGATGAACTTCTTGTGACTTGACTGGAGCCTGTAGTGCTTGCCATTAGTGTGGGGTCTACTCTTACACTAACTTGCTCTGGATGATCTTCATCATTAATTCCAACATCATGAGCTACACTGCTAACAGTTAAGTCATCAGAGACTGAGCCCATAGAAGATTCTGGATGAATTTCAACAAAATGTGTACTTGAAAGTCCTTGATTTGGATTGCCTTTGTCATCCTTTCCTCCAAGTTGGGCTTGATTGCTGCTTGGCCTCAGTCTAGCTAAGACTGAGGTGTTAGAAGATCCAAAACTATTTTCAGCTACATGCATTGTGGAACTTCCTTGTTCTTTGTGATCCTCTGGATTAGTTTCACCAAAATGAATATCAGAAGCTCCTTGATTTGGACTGTCTAGTTCATCTCTTCTTCCAAGTTGGACAGAATTGTTGCCTGGCAATTTACCTGACCCTGAGGTGCTGGAAGCTCCTACATTGATATCATTTGGATGTACTGTTAAGCTCCATTGTTCTGGATGATCTTTGTCATTTACTCCTACAGGTTGTGCATTGCTGCTGATAGTTGAATTTCCCAAGTGTAAAGTCATAAGAGATCCTGGATCCACAGTTGTTCTCTGATTGTTTGGAGGAAATTCAGCAGGATCTTGAGAGTTTTCACAATGTTCTATCTTATCAGAAGGTTGCTCTTGTTGACCAAATGGGACACTGTGTTGGGTTTGGTACACAAGGGGGTTTGGCTGCACTTCAGGTGGTGGTTTCGGCTGTTCCACAACAATATTACCTCCATAATCTGGCTGAGAAGTAGGCTGTTGCTGACCTGATGGATTCCCTCCAAGAGTTTGGCTATAAGGGGGAAACTCTCGCTCTTCTCTAGAGGAAGGTCTTTGTTGTTCCCCTGGACCACAAGTTTGTACAAAACTGGGATAATTTTGGACTGGATAATTTTGGAATGGATAATTTTGGACTGGAAAACGTTGGGCTGGATAGCTTTGGACTGGATAACTTTGGACTGGATTAATTCTAAATGGTGCCATATTTTCCATAGGATACTGAGTATACTGATGAGCATGTTGATCTACACCTGTCACAACATTAACGATGTCTGACTGCAAACGATTGCCAGCCTGTTGAGTGGCCCCTTCCACTGGCAAAGATACAGAGGGTGAACCACAGACAGAGCCTCCTATTTGACCTGGCATCTCATTTCGATGGTACATAGATACTGAACTTTGACCTGTACCAGAATAAACAGCTGATGAGGCTCTTCCATTCATTGTGTTGTTGAAATTGTTCTGTAGAGCATATTGTCCATCAGTCCTGGTTTCATTTGCTACAAAAAAAAATATCAGTTTAAATGATTGGCTGACTGGTTAAAGATCAAAATTAATTAATTCATCTGATGACACTTAGCTGATGCTCACAGTAATTCAAGGTAAATTAAAATATATTTATTAACATATACTCCATTTCAAATGGGTATCCTTCTTACAACCTTAAAAAAAGTAAAGAAGAATTTATCTTTAAATAGTTGTGGTACATATTTCAATAAATATTTGAGACCCAAAAACATGGATGCTGTAAGGTGTACAAGGTTCTCTTCCAATTTCTTATAAGAAAAAGTTGGTTCATACATCCCCTCATTGTGTTCTATTGGTTGGGGCACTCTCAAACCTGAAATCCTTGGAGTAACCCTGTGAAGGACTGAAATCCCATCCTGATGGAGAGAGGAGAAGGGGGGGAAAGGGTAAGGAAGAAGGGGGAGGAAATGCCAAACTCGTGGTTGCTTTATGCCATGGAAACTGGGATAGGGTCCCATGTAATATATGCTATCACATATCAGGGTACAGATTGTTTCCAAGTTACGTTATAAGGTTTATAGAGGATTTACCTATACCAGCTTAAATATTGCAAATTCATCCCCTGAGATAAAGCAAGCAGAAAACATTCATTTTCTTTCAAAACTGTAATATATATATATATATATAGATCTGCAATTTTTCTTTCAAGGGAAAATATTTGAGACCAAAGGCATAATGGGATGCTAAACGCTGGGGCCAATGATATGAGTTTGACTATCAGACTTCGAAAATTGGTCATTGCTTCAGAATACGTGTTGGCTCCCAAGTAAATTATAGCCAGTTCGAAAAACTAGATTTCTTTGATTTGATTTCTGCTAACATAGGCATAATTAAGTTAATGTCAAACCAGGTAATTTAAAGACAAGGGAAATGTAGCAACTTTACATTACCCATGAAGGAAATATATTTTGATTTAGACAGAAGACCGTATAGCGTAAAGAAACAGGTTGAAAAACTTTAGGGCAAACTTGTTTTTATGCTGCGGGCAAACGTGTAAAGATGGTGTGAGGCGAACTTGCATTGAGGCTTCCAAATACCATGTTAGAACACTCATATTAGCGATGCAAACAACATAATGTTGCCGATACCAATCCTGTGGGGATGAATTCTTCAGTCGTATCAAAAATTTAAAACTTAAATATTTTTTCACAACTTCACTTCTAGCATTCTCTGACCATTATATCCACACAATGTTAACCTTCCATTGATTCCCTAAATTAAAGGGTGCAAAGGAAGCCAGCAACGCAAACACCAGGCCCCGGTTGTTCGAATATCGGATAACGCTATCCACTGGATAGATCTCTATCGTTTTGCTATTACTTATCCGCTGGCTAGAGATTTATCCGTTGGATAGCGTTATCCGCCCTTTTTACAACTGGGCACTGCAGATTGGCAAACACTATATTGACGAACCTTCTTTACTCAAATGAACCTTTACGCAGCAAAACTCACCTTTTCTGGAGTCAAGAAAACGTTGAACTTTAGCCTTTAAATCCAATCTCCCAACGTTATGAAAGAGTTGTCTTAAAAAAGAGAGCTGCTGCTCTTCGCCTTCGGTAATCTCACCAATGGCTACAAACAGTTCCCTCGGTGTGGATATATTTTCTAACCTTCTTTTGGCCAATTTGTCACCACAAAGGTACTTTAAACTAGCTAGATCTTCAGATCCTATGTCGTCGGCTATTTTGTTAAGGAATCCTCGTAAATTTGAAATCGCCATCTTCCGTACCCTTCCTGAAAGAAGGAAATCATAGGGAAGTCAAAGACCACGTGACGTTTAGGGACTTCCTCCTCCTCGGGAAATTGCGTAAGGATAAAAATTGTAACTGTAGAAAGCAGAGTAGCTCAGTGAAATAGGCCAGTCGTTGAATTTTCAATCTATTCTCCAAGTGATAGAAAATTCGAGTGCGATGATTCACCAGAAAAAAATATTCTGCAGGCGAATCTGAACTAAAGAAAATTCGGTAGTGGTACGTAAAAATTTAACATACATGACGTACCTATTGTGTCAGACTTCCTGTTGGATTGGACTGGCTTCTTTCTCGAAACTGAAAGTTTTGCGCAACAACATTAATGGAAAAGTACCTGGTTCCTCGGTTAGTGACATGTTACATGACTTCAGCTAAATGACGTCTCTATTTATCAGAGCATGGTTATTAGAGCATGGTCTGAACTAGTTGATCGATTGAAAATTAAACCAAAAACTTTAATTGAAAACATTTTTTTATATTTACATGTACGTACCTAGGTAAAGATATCAAGATTAATCAGTTGAAATTCGTTCAGCTATACCTTTATTTTTGGATTTTTTTATTTACTCATTTGCTTGTCAGCGAATTTATCAAATACTGTAGATTCCAGGTCCTAGTGCGCCTGTTCAGTTATAGATCATGTCACAGATGACGTCAAAATGTGGTAAATACAAAAAAAAGTTACACAGGAGACGCAGCCGTGTGTCACTGATGTTCTTACCAAATTTTGATGTCCTCTGTGATCTATTACTATAAAGACCTTCAGCATAGAATCTATTTGTTTTAGATGATAAAAATGTTGTTAATGGTGATGTCATCTGTGTCTAGGAACCAATCAAAATGCATTTAAAATTCAGCTTACCATATATTAACCTATTGATACATGATAGAGTAAGTTATCTATTTGATTCATTGATTGATTGATTTTCCATCTTTCTGCATATGCATACGTGTAACAAGTTAGTGAACTGTGTCTATTGCTGCGTTATTTCTGTCATTCCTGCAGAAAACATAAGATGGAATCGGAAGGTGAAGCCAGCAACAGCAAACAAACTCCTAAGAAAAGAAAACATCACAAATACAAGTTTGGTTATCAGTCTCAGCAGGTTAAGTCCCAGTGGAAAGTTCATTTAATCAGAAAATTTGACTGCATGCAGTTTTAAATTTGCATGACTTTGATGAGACCTTAATTTACACCTTGCAGGCTGATAGCCAATCAGGAAATTCCAGATCACTGTCTAAACTGAATGAGGTGCAAGGTGACTTATTTTCATGTCCTGTCAGTGATTCCCTTGCTCACTGTATAAGTGCTGATGCCAGGATGGGCAAAGGGATAGCAGTCCTCTTTAAAAATAAATTTGGAGGAGTGGAGGAGATCAAAAGTCAAGGTATATTTTTTAAGTATGCTGTATGGTCTTTAAAGGAATCCTCAATTAAAAAAAGGTTGATTGAACCTTCAATAAAGTAATTGTAATTGTCATTCTGAATATCTTGTGTTTAACACAGTTTCAAATTATATAAAGTTCTACAGGATTTGCTGTTAAGCAGAAATGGTATTTCTCAGGAGTGCATTTGAACTTGAGTCATATGCATTACAGCTGAATGCTTGATCATACCTAAACACTTACTACTTGAATTTCATTTAAGATGTGTGATGGCGGTAATAACATAAGCCAGTATTCACTTTTCTAGCTCAGAAGTTCTACGTCTCTCCCCCTCCCCTCAATTAAAGGTGAAGCTGCAAGAAAACAATGTTCAGAAATGAAGGTAATTGTCGAAAGTGACTCAGTGGGATTTCACATCAGGTGACAGCTTCCACCGACCTTTTGAATGGAATTGTTATTAAGTATTGTTACAACAACCATAAAGAACATAAGTGTCTAAAAACTTTTTTTAGTTACACTACTTATTATAAGCTACATGCACCTAAGACATTTGTTTGCATAATTTCAGCATAATTGTTTGGATAATTGTAATCAAACAGCTGTTATATGCATTTTTCTTTTATCTTTAACTTAGGGCAGAAGCCAGGAGGCGTAGCTATTTTGAAAAAAGGAGAAAGATTTGTCTATTACTTGGTAAAGGTTTTGAACTCAGGCTGTGACAATTAAATGATTCAGAAAGTGTCATCATGATGTGTTAAAACAATAACTCAAAAAAAGTCTGTGTAATTTTATTACAAGCTTTTGGTGCATGATATCTGTAAAACACGTCTCAGATGAAGTTTCTGAACTTAATTTCGACTTTCTGGATGCACTGTTCAAAACAAATATAAGCTCGCTAAACTTTTGTCTCTTCATTTATTATTAATAAATGATGAAACAGATAAAAATGATTTGTAAGGGTTCCTTTGCAGTATATTCCATTTCAAATGAAAGGGCTCTTCATATGTGAAGAGGTTTAAAAAATTCAAGTTTCCAGTGTCGAACACTAATAATAATGCACTTTTGTGTCATATATGCAATGATGAAAGAAAAATGGCAACAATTCCTAATTACAGCTATAGACTTAAATAATGGTTTGCTGATCAAAAATTAATCTTTATTTGTGCAAGGGGACTTTTGATGGTTTGTATTCTGTTTTCCTATTAGGTCACCAAGGAGAAGTCTTTTCATAAACCAACATACAAAACTTTGCAGTCATCACTGGAAGCCATGAGAGACCATTGTCTTACCCACAATGTGATTGGCCTATCAATGCCGAAGATTGGTTGTGGCTTAGATGGTCTACAATGGTACAGAGTTAGTGGTATCATACATCAAGTATTTCAAGATACAAATATTAATGTGACTGTTTATAGCTTGTAGGAATTAAAGGATTTCATTTTCATCCAGAAATCCTTAAAGAGTAACACGTTCAAAACACATGAATAAAATGTGTAGCTTTATTCAATGTTCTTGTCACAAATTGTTTAAATTAGAAAGTTAAAAAAAAAGTATATTTAATTTGTTGCTGTTTCTCCATTCAGAATTTTGCATGTGTTTAATGTCTATACTGGATCAGTGTATCAGTTACAAAATGCTCCTAAGAGGGTTGTAGCACAAGTGTCAAAGCTGCAGGAGATTGGACATGCTAGAGAGAAAATTTTCTGATAGTAAAAATTTTTAGAGACAGGCCCTTGCTGTTTTGTCTCTTGATGTACTTCTAGTGCTCTCTTACAGGCTAGTTGATGTAGGATAGTAAACTTAAGACTTTAGGAAGGTAAATGTAGAAAATACAGTTACCACTGTGATGTTGTGAACATAGAAAGGTCAAGATATAAAAGTTTACTTTTCTTAATTACTAAACATACAAGATGGATTTGCTTCTAAATAGTAAGGCATGATATTCTCTGTCAAAGATGCATTGTTTTAGGGTTGTATAAATGTTGTTGTTGTTGTTGCTTTTTTTTTAGTGATGTTTTTTCCTTATTATTATATGAATAAGAAAGTATTAATAAACAGTCGACCTTGCTTTATTAAGGTTTATTTGCAGTAGTTTAATTCAAGAAACCCTAACACAAAATCTAAGCACCCACACTTCACTGTTAAGAAATATCACATGGTAGTCTTATGTTTTTGGTGTGCATGCATGGGTACCCATAAATATCAAATTGGTAAATAATGCAAAGTGGGGCACTGTCTGGAGACTGGTTGTAAAGGACCAGTTGCTTTTTTCGAAGACAAGCATAGATTGTCCAAATATGCATTTGAAGCACAAAAATTCTTAACACTTGCTCAAGCACAACAACACATTCATGTTGCTTCACTCAAACCAGTCACCACCGAGGCATTGTTTTACATTGATAGCCAGTCATAGTAAAGTACTACCAGTACAGCTGATCACCTTGCATTTGATGGTCTTTTGCAAGAGTTACTTTCCAGATTTTCAGTATTGTTGCAAATCATTGTAACATTTAAGCAAGCGCAATCTTTGTATGTTAGGATGTCTTAAAGCAGCAGCTTTAATTTTTCTCAAGGGTCTGTGAGAAAGCCATAAGGGTCCTGCTGCCTCTATTATTACCCACTCCCCTTCCTCGGGGCTTTTCTCCACCAAAATAAAGAACAGAGATCAACTAGTAAAGATAGAAGATGCCTAGTAAGGTCTCTCCAACTTCACCTCTCTGGCCTATTTATGAAATTTGTCTGCAATACTACCCAGCTCCATTATGAGGCTCTACAGACACTGAATTCACAATTCAAAAAAACAAATGAAATTCCATGGTGAAAGTAACCTTCACTTAAACCTAGGTTAATGTATGTTCACCAGACATGAATAGAAAATTCCAATTTAATATGCACCAGCACAAACTTGTCATGTCACATAAAAAAACACAAAGATATATTTTAGTTTAATGTGAAAGGTTTGCAATTTTCTCCAATTTATGCATGTGTGCAAACATGCCACCTATTTACTTTGAATTCAAGAGTTTAATAAAACTTTATAAAATAATTCAAATAGTACATGTGCTCTGATTGGCCATTTAACCATTTTACATGAGTGTATGTAAACACGGTTTTCATACTGAATCTTCTCGCGGAGTTCTCCCTGCTATTTATTTAGCAGTAACTCAGTTTCTTTAAGAAGATTTTCCTAATTTTTCTTTGGAGTTTAATTTTCCCAGTATTCAAGAAACGGCCGAAAAGCCAAATGAACAACAACAACAAGCACGTCACTTTCCTTCGTTGCAAGAAGAGGCTCTTTCATTAGTTATTTTATAAAAGAAATGTAAAATGGTTTCTGTGTTTACATAGCCAGATGTAAACACTTGGGAGGTTGGGAGAACACTTGATAAGCTGGAAACCACTCCGCTTCGCGTCGTGGTTTCCTACACTTATCTCGTGTTCTCCCAACCTCCCGCGTGTTTACATCAGGCTATGTAAACACGGAAACCATTTTACATTTCTTCAGTGTAAAATAGCCAAAATGGACCATTTTGTCATTCTCATCAAGTGATAAACGATCACACAATATCTATGTTGCCAAGAAACACTGATTTCAGTTTTTAATACTCTTAACCCTTTAACTCCCAATATCTCATTAGTAATTCTCCTTACAGTCTGTTATATAGTTCTTGAGATAACTGTTTAATTTGGTGAATTTGGTATGAGATCAACTCCTTACCCAGTGAAAAACAAGACAAGACCATAACATGGAGAATAACTTCATTCAATTG